TATTAGTGAACAACCGTGCTAAAAATGGAGTCAGCAGATCAGAGAACTAAATCGCAAATTGTATCATATCCAAAATGAAACTGTACTAACCAAAACTATAACTAATTCATAAAATATATATTTTTCACACTTTCTTTGTGCACTCACAAGCAAAACTTAGCTGTAACTGAAAGCCCGCTATATATATACTCGTATATAAATGGTAGTTATATATAATAACTTCTCCTCTCACACTTGCTCACACACTATGAAAATTAGTTAGGCTATATACCACGCTAAAGCAACAAAGTGCTGCCGTTGTAGTTCACCAAATCCTATCACGCAAACGAATCGATTTATACTCAAATCACTTTGATTCGAATTCAAACGTATCACATTGCATCAAACAAAGTTATGTGATTTTATTTATATTTTTATTTCAATGCTAGTATAAAGAAATATTTAAATTGAAAACAACTGAAGTTATACAAATTTTTTAAAATTTTACTTAGCCAAAAAATATGGTATTAAAAAAAGCATAAAACGCACAAAATAATCGAAAATTTAGAAAAATTAAAAATATTGCAATTTCTATAACAAAATAATCGAATAAACATAAAGATTACTACGAAAACTATTAGTATGAAAACGCCCTCCCAAGCATGCTTTCTCTTACGCTCTCATACGAAGTACGTACGAAAAGCGTTACTAAACGTAATAATAAAATTTAATAAAGTTAACACAACAGCAAAGTATTAACATAGAACTATACAGTATAATTGAAGCAACTTGCAAGTTTCTTCTACTACTACTCGTACTACAACTTACACCAATCATTAACCCTTAGGTTTTGCTTTTAGTTTGAGCTCCATAAAGTTTTCTCACATTCACTATATATTTGGTTTACATTTTTGATAACTAATTAATGATGCGTACTTTTTACAGCAATTCTATATTTAGCGTAACCTAAGTGCTTATTTGCCAATGTCAGTTAGTAAAAAAAAAAAAAAAAATTGAAACAAACAGCAAAAAATATGTTTTTGCAATTTTTGGCATTGATGTCATGATAAATAGATATTTTGTTATTTTATTCCATCGATATAATTTTGTACCCGCTCAGCATTAACCACTCATTCATAAGCGTTAAGAATTTTTGCCCTCAACTACTAATGTTTTTACCCTTAGGCAACAGAGTTTCACAGTGTTTAAATTGTTTATAATATTTATTTATAAATTATTTATCTTTTGATTTGGTTACTTAATATATTTCACCATCACCGTTTTAATTAATTTTTGTTTAACTCTATGATTTAATTTATTCTATATATTTACCTTTATGCAAGCTTTATTCGTTTTTTGTATGCTTGATATATATTTGTAGAACAACTCTTTTCGAATGGCAAACATTTTAATATATACTTATAACAAGCATAAAAATTTGCAAATAATTAAAAACGAAAGCGTAAAAATGATATTGCGTATTAATATTTGTAAAACTGCAGATTTGTTTTTAATAAATTAACCTCGATTGTGTGAGCCTCATATAATAGCTATTTTTCCGAAAAATAACCGGTATGAAGCGTGTTAATTAAGCATTTGAAATTATTAAATATATGATATTATGATATGTTATTACGGGTAAAAAAATCGCTCTAACTTACTTGATTGAATCTCTCTGAAAGCATTTAAATCGGGGATGTTGTAAAATGTTGTAAGTAAAATAATTGAAGCCGTTGAAATGAAGTGGCTGTCATGAATTTAGATATTATTGGTTTGACATTCGACAGAAATATAAACAGAAACGGAAATTGTATCGGTTTTGTGTGTCACGCAAATCAATTTTATCCGTTTTGCTAGCAGAACGATAGCAGATAGTCGCTAACAGATTTGAAATACAAGACAAGAAATCAATTTGTTTTATTGTTTCCAATTAGTTTATGCTTAATCGAACTTCTCCGAGAGCATTTCAATCAGGGGAATATGGAATCAAAATAGAAACCGATAAAAAAAATGTAGTAGGTGTTATGAATTTAGATATTATTGGTTCGACAGAAACAGAAACAGATTGTGTCGATTTTGGATGTAACTGAAACCATTTTTTTGTTTTGCTTTCGGAAACAAAGCAAGTAGATAATCGCTAGAAGATTTGAAATGTAAGTTAAGAAATCAATTTATTTTATTGTTACAAATTAGTTTATGCTTAATCGAACTTCTCCAAGAGCATTTCAATCAGGGGAATATGGAATCAAAATAGAAACCGATAAAAAAAATGTAGTAGGTGTCATGAATTTAGATATTATTGGTTTAATGTTCGACTGAAACCATTTTTTTGTTTTGCTATCGGAAACAAAGCAAGTAGATAATCGCTAGCAGATTTGAAATGTAAGTTAAGAAATCAATTTATTTTATTGTTAAGAATTAAATTATTTACATTTTTATAGGGGAAAACTTACGAATAAAAAACAAAATGTTATAATTTTTGAGTTTTTGGAAAAAAATCCAGATATTTTAAGATAATTTAGATAAACAGCCAAATGCGTTAGTATTTAGTCGATAATGTTAAATCTGCTAGCTAAGCATGTATACGAACATAAAAGTAAATGCGAGCTAAATACCACATGTTTTCCTTTGATTTTTTGTTGTTTTTTTCTTACAATAAAATTGAAACTATATAGTAAAAACCATTAAAAACATTGATGGAATTGCTTTCAAATTTAGTGATTGGGCTGTTTTGGTGATACATTGCAACTGCGTATTAAAGTTATACCTTTTTAGGCGTTTTTGATCGCAAGAATGTACTAACCTATTAGCCAATGGCGAAGTTTCATTTTACTATCCTAATTCTTTATTCACCATAGGAATACCAAGATCCTTATGAATATTTTCATTCAACACGTACCTCGGCGAACAAATGATCGCTCAGTTTTCGATTGGAACATTTGTATTATATCAGTGTAAGTTGGACAGGTCGTACTTCCATACATCCAAGTCGGCTTTGTGACCGCACTTTTTTGTCTAGGCTAAGCTTAGAGTTTTTATTTAAAAGCCACTTAAATCTTATCTTAATGTAAGTTATTTTATGATGTATATATTTTCTATACGTGAGCCTTTTATCTAAGTGAATACCAAGATACCTGTAAGTTACTTCGTTCGCTTGGGGTACTACATATTGTATACTTTTACTGTCGGACACATTTTTGGTCTTAGCGCAAATGTAACATGTTAACACTTTTATTCATTTGCATTTATATGCCAATTGGCTAGCCATTTTTTGACAGAACTTCACTAATAGTCGTGATGCTATAATGTCTAATTACGGCTGACTAAAGCTATGTCATCCGCAAAAGTTGATGTCAATGCTTTATTAGCTGTTGGTATGTCAGTATTGAGTTCAGCCTAAGACACTGTCCTGTGGTGTACAAAAGCCCTTATCTGTGTTCAAACTCCTGGAGACTAATTTGGGGTAAGCTCTTTTATCTAATAATATCATAAGGTGAAGTGGTATACATTTTACTCCATTACTCATATAATAAAACATTCAATACAGTCAAAATACAGGTATGGATTCTTCCAAGGGAATGTAGTTAAGGTTTAATTTTGAATATGTTCATACAAATAAATATCATTGGAAAAACTAACGAGTTTAAAGCTGATTTTTCAATGTTTGGTTACCAGCCTTTTAAGCCAGCCAGTTAATAGAGTTCTCTGCTAAATAGAGCATTCATTTAATAGAACTTTCAATGTTTTTTTTTTTTTACTTATGAACTGTTTTCAATATCCTATCTTCTAAGTTGGTACAAACTGGACACGGTGCGCTAAATTTTACTAAAATCGGTTCAGTAGTTTAGGAGTCTATCGCGGACAAACAACGTGAAACGTACTTTTCATGTATAAAGATAGAAAAATATACAGAAACAATTCAAATGTGGCTTCTAATGTCACAAAATTTCTGGTATAATGTAAGTAATAAAGAAAAAAAATGTTAAATATTTCTTAAACTACATTAACAAATATAAATTACCATATTCTCAAAATAGAACGCATGCAAATATGGGAGAAATGAAAATTTCCTATAATTATATTAAAATATTTGCCATCGAAAAGTAATTCAGCTGCTTTTTTTCAAATTATACTTTCATATATATTAGTGCCGAAGAAATTTTGTGTTAATTAATTCTCTATGCAAGTAATAATACATACATAAAATAAAAGTTTTTGTTAATTTCAATGAAATACACAGAATTTTTCTTAGTTTTCTGAAATGTTATTTGCTATAATTTATTGAGATATTTTTAACTACTAACCATGTGATATGCAATATTTCCAGTAAATTACTCATTTTTCGTTACTCTCAATAAAACTTTCTTAGATCTTACAAAAATACAAAAGAAAACATATAAGAACTTACCATTACTAGTTTACTAATATATTTTTTCTTTTTCTTCATGCGCGCCTGCTGTGCTCTTCGCTACTAATACCACTATCATCAAAACGTTCATTAACAGGAAATTACTCGCGACTCGCATGTGAGATACAATTCGTGCGTTCGATGGGTTACTATCTCATTCAAATATATATACCCTCTGGACTGATCGTTATTATATCATGGGTATCATTTTGGCTAAATCGTAATGCCACACCAGCTCGTGTGGCGCTCGGTGTTACCACCGTGTTGACAATGACCACACTGATGTCGTCAACAAATGCAGCATTGCCAAAGATTTCTTATGTCAAATCGATTGACGTATATCTAGGAACATGCTTCGTTATGGTCTTTGCCAGTCTTTTGGGTAAACTAATATAGCGATAAAAAACATCAAACTAACTATGTCACTTACAACTCTTACAATGTTCTCAGTGTGTACATTACTTTTATGTTTCGTTATACTTGTACTTGCATATGTATATATTTTTACAATACATACATGGTTTTAATTTATACTTTCAGTTTTTAACACAATTCTACAAAATTTACAGATTCGGGCTGTACTTTTTTCTGATACAGTTACTATAAATAAATATTTATATATTTTTGGTACGACAAGATGATCAATATGAAACTATCAAAATGTTCTCAGAGCTTTAGGTTCTTCCGCCAATATAAACAGATTGCAGTCTCTGCCGAGAGAATAAGTTTCTTAGTCAAAACGTATATTTACTTAAATTACAATCAAAAATATTTATTTCTGCCGAACTATTATATGTTAGGGCAGTTGGTGCGACGTCGAAAGCATGCATTCGGTACACTACTGCAGTGAAATATCTTCACTAAGCCTCTGTCAAAATTTTAAATTGCGATGTTGAAAAACATGGGCGAAAAGGAGTTTTATCGAAAGAAAAATTTGGTCTGATAGCGTTATTCGAACCTGTTTTGTGAAGGAATAGTAAACGAATTAGATTTTTTTATTAGCAATTAATTAATAAAGATCTGTAGGTCATATATCACCTACAAATTTACTTTTGTAGCACCAAAAACATATAAATATATGTCTGTTTGTCCAAATTCTAATATTAAATTCCACAAAAAAAGTTTTATTTTCTTCTTCATTATTTATGCTAAATCGATATTATTGCAAACAAATGTTTAAAAAAATTAATTCATAACGCAAATTATAGAAAATATTTGTATATGATTTTTGGAAATATTAAGTGCTGTACATTAAAAGTATTTTTACAAAACTTATAAAATTTAAAAGAAAAATGCTTTTCGCTTTTGTCAGTTTTAAAATTTCTACTCACCGACTTTTCAACTTTTTCACACAATTCAATTTATTATATGAATATTTTAACACATTTTCACCTTACTTATTTACCATTATAAGATATTTTTTACTATACAGATTAACAAACATGCATATTTCTTAAACCTAACAGATAAATTAACAAATAAAAAATACTTTTTTATCAACTATTGAAACACCTCCAAAAAAGATATTACTGAAACAAAAGAAAACACAACAGTTCAAACAAAATTAAACAAACAAAACCCAATCCAAACAAAAATCTCTTTTTTCGTATTTGTTAGTTATTGTTAATTTTCAATGCAAATTATACATTGAATGGCTAATATTATCATTTTGAAAGAAAATAAATGCAGGTTCATTGATACGCGCTTCCCAATGTAAGGTCAACGTAAAGCATACATAAGCCCTACCATTCCATCACTTCTCTAAGCATCTATGTATATACTCTACCTTAAACCACATAACATACATATTTGTAAATACACCGAAACATACAATATATATTTTTTGTTGTTGCATTTTTCACATAAACATAATTTGCTCATACTCACTTCAAATATGTGTATGCTATTATTGTACACATCAATCTGCAATAATAACGGTGTTAAAAGTGCCCGGCGCATAGACGGCAACAATTTCAATGCACATTAGCACTCTCCAATCGCAAAGACCACTACTACAAGTGTAATAAAAGTAATAATAGACCAACGGCACCGCTAATAACTTATACACATATATCTGCATATATATTTAATGACACCAGCAAATACCTAAATGATACCCAGATATTAATATACGCCCAGCTTCAGTTTAACAACAGTTGTACAGCAAAGCAAACAAAATGGAGCACTACGTCACACACATGGCACAATGTGTTGTAAATACATAATATATGAAGTCAAGGGACATCAAAGTATGTCCCTTCGGAAAATACGCAAGCTTGCTGTTATGCTTTTCGTAAGCTTTTCTGTGTTAAGAACTGATTATGCCTCAAAACACACATCAATTCATGACACATGAAAAGCTTTTAGTATACTAATTATACGAAAGCTGTTGGTTTATGTTACTGATTGATAAGTTTAGTTTTTTCCAGATTCCATTGATCCAATTGACTCGAAATTGCAGGTAAGTATTATATAAATTTATTATCATTATTTTCGTAAAACACTACGCTAAGCTTAACTTTTCTCAAGCTTAACTTAGTATAACCAGGACAATTTCCAAGAGCATTTTAAACGAACTTAAACACGGGCTTCATAATTAGATTTTCATACCTAATGTTATCTACCTCATCGACTCATCGACGAGCTACTATAGCTTTTCCTATGAATCCTTAATGATAATTACCGCACTAACTCCTTGAACCCAATGAAATTAATGCTGCAACGTGTGTGCAACACAAATATATGGTTGGAGTAAATCTTTTGTTTTTGCTGACAATTTAATCAGCATTTCGAGCCCGAAAGTTGACTTACGTTTTTTACGGCTTGAAAAAAGGCGAAAACAGTCCTGCGGTTTACAGCAGATACATATATGTATAGTTGTTTAAAATATCTCTTCTGGCAAGTGTTATACTAAATAACATTCCACCGTTCCATCTCTTCCATTCGAGAGAATATTCTTCAAGAGAGAATATGTTGCCACAGTTGTATGTAACACCAAACGGTAATCGAAGTAGATATACATATGGTTATACTAGTGACCATATATATAAATGATCAGGCTAACTAGACGAAATCCGGATGTCCGTCCCTCCATCTGTGCAAGCTTGACACATTTATACTTTCTTTATACTATATACCCGTGGATATATATGACCAAGCTTATTTTTTTCAAGGCTGCTTTCTCACAAGAACATGTTCATTTGGGTTAACCGATTTTAAATATTTATAAGCTGATCGATCCAAAAATAGTTTGAATGTAAATATTTTTTATTAACGAGATACTACTGTGATCGAATAGAAAGGAGAATTATATACTTCGCGTGTTTTTCGAATTTTTTTTCTGTAAGTTGGTAGCACTGTTAGTGGCATCTTTGCTAAATTTCACGTCAAAATATTCATTACTATTTGACATCGTTTTGTGTGGCTCTAAAGGTGAATTCTTCGATTGTGACTATGTTTGAATTTATTGAACAAAGAAGTGCGAAAGTCACCACTTCATACTGCATTGGTTATTCGTGATCATTTCGCCACATTTTCAACGAATATTGTGCCGCAACCATCGCAATCACCTGATTTACCTTCTTGTTATTCTGCAAATTCACATGACTGTTCGCGGAGTAGTTTTGATTCAATTAAGGTATAAAAGCTGAATCGAAGAATGCCCTGATGGCCATCACGACGGAGGATTTTTCCAAGTGCATAGATAATTGGAAAATTCGTTGGCATAACTATATTGAAGCGGGAGGGAAGGAAATGAAATGGACAAAATTCACCTTTCAATTTGATCACAGTAGAATCTTCAAGAATTTGGCGTAAAGCATATTTTTTTTAATCATTTTTATCTGCCAAGATAATGGCATGGATTATTACATAAATTTTTACTAAGTCAATATCTAAATAATTTTTGTTTTATTCGGACGACTTTGATATATAACAACCACACAAATTTAACTATCCGAATGAAGTTCTTTTATGGAAAAATGTCTTATTTTTATTTTCTTAGTTTTAACTAAGTTTCGACAGGTAGGTAATACTCTAAGTTATATCTGATAATATTTTGTTATAAAAAAGGGTCCAGAGAATCAAATATATATAAATTTTATTGGCGGTGTTTATATATTCAACTCAAACAAAGGGTGATTCATATATGAAGTGAATTCATAAATTGTTTATAACCTCACTGAACATTATTTTTAATATATTATTAACATAATCACCTATTTTTTTCGTTTTCGCAATGACATATTTCATGACATACTATCTTATCTACTATTAAATCCTCTTATGCATTTCGTTCCCTTATGTAAGTGCCTGTTCGATAACAATGCATTTAGATTGTAATGTAAGCTGACACACTGCAGCAAAGTGCAGCTCAGCAAACATAACAATGCATTTTCTTAAAATGATAATATTGAAAAGCAAAGAATCAATATAAAACTCACCCACAGCAAAAGTTTAAAATTTAAAACAACATAAATTTTGCTTCATATTTTAAACAAAACAATTCTCATATTTAATGATTAAATACTTTTATGATTACTTAAATAGTTTTTGGCTTTAAATTATATTTTAATAACACAAACACGACTCTTTATTAATGTATTGTTTTATATAAATTACACTCTTTACTGCCTTATCTACATTTGTAGAACATTTGTATATACAAAAAAGTTTTATTGCTTAATTTATGTCTTTAATGTTGTGAATAGAATACTAGTAGTTTTAAAATTCCAATAGAACTCTGCACCATTTCTAATATGTGAATGATGAGATAGGCTTTTCTGTTTGCATTGAATTGCATTGTACGGATTTTTCGAATATTACTATTCTATCAGATAGATTGAAATAAATTAAACTAAAATGTATTGTTTCGTGAGTATATTAGTAGTAAATTTGTAAATATCTAAAAGTTTATAGATAGTGTATATTAACCTTTTGTTCACCCCGTAAAATTCCAGACCTTAGTTCTAACATTATAGTATTTATTTATGATATTTGCTATACAAAAGAGCTTTGTGAAGGACAAAGTGGAAAATAATCGTTCCGATTTCAAACTTCGCGCTCACAGTGTTTTGTCACACGAAACATAAGAGTACGGGTACTCTATTAAAGCGATACATTATATCACCTATCGTTCATGACAATTAGTTTTATATTTCTTAGTTCCAAATCAAGTGGTAATACGCGAAAAAGGCAACTTCTAGGGGTCTTTCTTTCGTACCAAAGCAAAGATAACTCAGTCTGTCTATTTCTAACAGACCACCTAGTTTAACTTGTAATTAAGATGTATACATTTTTGGCAGAAATTATTACAATATTTTCACGAGTTTTTGAAAGGAGACATTTTGTCGTGTAGTCTCAACGTAAGCGCACGATTTTGTCCAATAGTTCGGTGTTACGTTAGTTAACGCTCTTTACATCTTACGTTGCCGCTATCTTGGTTAAAGTTATATTCGCAAATAAAGCTTAAGTCGACCGCATTCCTCCTAAAAATGATTACAACGATCCATAATTGCCGGATGTCATCTGCTTTGGTATCGTTGCTCCATTGTTAGAGCCTCGTTGCACAGCCAAATTAATTTAGGACATTAAGATTATAATTGAGTTAAACACAGCCAAATTTATAGTGTGGACAATAACCCGCAGAGTTTTACTCAACACGATTTCAATTCGATTAACGATTAATATCGTAAAGTAAGATTTTTATTTAGTATTATAAATTTGAATTAGTAATCGAGCAAAGACCGGTTAATTGATAAAGTAACTTCTGCGCGAAAAGTCTATTAAAATATTCGTGCTCATCGCGATTGCTCATCGAATGTATTTTAAGTGACGTGAGACATTCTATTTGCAATAGTGCTTCAGTACAAGTTGTTCGTAGGTTTCTACTAAATTGTGCATTAATTGAAGCTTTATATAAGTATAATGGAATTAACACAACTTTTTTGGGATCAATGACAGGTATATACTTTACGTTAGCGTGGCTTGGATTAAAATGGCTCTATAATAGCGCTCTTTTACTTTATAATGGCTACTGTTTCAAAGGCACAGAAAGCAGGAATACTTAGTAAATCCTCCCTGAAGCCTTAGTAATTATCCTATGACTTTTAGATCAACACATATTTGCAACTTGTAAGCGTTATAGTTTATTGAATTAGAATATGTGATATAGTTTCGTTTGTCTCTTTCATGCTTACTCTTAGTAAGGCAAACTCTATGAAAAAACGTCACTGGTCCGGTTTATTCGTAAAGACCAACTTTTCTATAACACCATTTGGATTAACGCAAACTCAAATTTGATTTTCCATGGTGAAAAATTAGGAAAGCTCCTGGTTTTGGTTCAAAAATGATTAATTTCGTTCCCGGTGCCAGTAAATTCTACTGTTGTAGGCTTGAAACCCATAGTTCAGCGTGATCTCGTACAAGGTTGATTAATTCAGCTTATTCGATTAAACAGTGTAATTTGTATACACTTGCAACAACTTGCTACGTATACAGAGTACAATAGTTTTGTTTACCTAACGGTCGTTTGTATCACCTAAAAGTAATCGAGTTAGATATAGGGTTGTATATATTTATATATAAGTGATCAGGATGATAAGACGAGTTGAAATCCGAGTAACTGTTATCTGTCCGTGCATGTGCAAGAATTAACTTGTGTAAAAATGCAAATGTCTTAAAGAAACTTGGTATGCGGGTTCCTTGGCAAAGAAGTGAGGAGGAGTTCGAAAAGACACCGCCCACATTTCGATGAAAAACCATATCTCAGGACCTACTCGGACTATATCAACCAAATTTGTATAGAATGTTAATTTGACATTTCTGTGTTCATTTATAACCCATTCCAACTGATTTTTTCAATATTCAAAATACAAATCAAACACTAATTTATGTAGGCCATTGTATGATCAAAACGTGCTTTAATCGGAGCAAAACTATTCAAGTCTCCAGTTACCGAATATATGGGTCGAACTTTTAATCACAAATATTGGCCAATCTTCAAAATGTATTATAGAAATTCGGAGAAAATCCTTTCCTGAAAATAGTCTGTATGTCAAAAATACGTTGAATCGGATCAATGATATTTTTAGCCATCAGAAACCTAATAGAAAAATTTTCTAACCCCTAGTTGGCATTCAACAGAATTGGGGGAGTGCGCTTTTCTAATAACGGTGCATCTCTGTGTCTAAAATGGATAAAACCGTGTGAAAACTCGCCCTAGATTCTTATATCCAGCAAACCTTATGCACGTGAAGGTCTTGTTTAGTAATAGCTTGATTTTTTGTTATAAAATTTCGTTTTTTCAAAGAATAAAATAAAAATTAGTTTAAAATTAACTAATATTGCTCTGAATATATAGTTTTCGAATTTGATAAGGACATTTAATTCGACAAAACCAATCTCATCATTTCATATTTATTTATATGCAAGAATTAGCTTTTTCTTACACGAATTAAGTAGTATCCAACCGTAAACATATGATATATAGAAATCGTCCAGTCCTTTAACAGATGTTCTTTCCTGTATATTGTATATACCATAATTGAACACAAATACTTTAGTGCGCCCTTTTTCATTTTGCATAATTAGCTGCTATAAATTTGCAAGATTATTTGTGGTATTATTTAATTTTCTATTCTTCTATTTTTCCATTTTATGCGCCTGCTCCCCGCACAATCCGAAAAACACAATTCGAATTTTACAAAATGAATAAATTGTATTTTTCATTAATTGATATCAAAAATTCAAACGCCCAACAAATTGAAATTGATTCGAAATGCATTATTCGAAAACCGAATCGCTACCGAAATCTGCTCAAAATTACCAACCAATTTCAAATGCTTGCTTATATACCAACCATTTCATTGATCAATTGATATTTATTACAAATTAATTGTTTTCAAATACCTATTGATGTCATAAACTATAATTGAGTATACTATTTGATGATCGAACAAATTTCAAATGAAAAACAAATTTGAAAATTAAAACGAAAAAAATACAAAATCTATAGAATACGCCACCGTCGGCTATATGGCAAAACGAATTCAAATGCGAAAACAAAGATTTATGGCGATCCAAAAGATAGCTGAACAAAAAAAGCAGCAACTGGATGGGGTGCAACCACCGCCCAATCCGAATCCGAGTGCGGGCGATCATGGACATGGGCATGGTCATGGCCATAGCCATGGTCATCCTCATGCGCCAAAACAAACAGTGAGTAACCGACCAATTGGCTTTACAAATATACAACAAAACGTTGGCTCGCGCGGTTGCTCGATAGTGGGACCCTTGTTCCAGGAGGTGAGATTCAAGGTGCATGACCCCAAGGCACACTCCAAGGGCGGTACACTGGAGAATACTGTGAATGGCGGACGTGGCGGACCGCCGGTTGGACCACCCGGACCCGGACCCCAAGGCGGTGGCGGTGGAGGCGGCGGCGGCGGCGGCGGTGGAGGTGGAGCGCCCGAAGGTGGGGACGCCGAAGCGGCAGTACCATCCCATTTATTACACCCGGGCAAGGTAAAAAAAGTAATTTCCAACCCAAACAAATACACATTAAGAATTGTGTGATCATACTAATCGTTTATTTCTATCTCTCTTCCACACTCTTTTCTCTGTACATTCATCATATTTCCTAATATGTAATTAAAATTTTTTTGAATATGAAAAAAAAAATAAAACAAATTCGCACAGGATATCAACAAGTTGCTGGGCATCACGCCATCAGACATTGACAAATATTCGCGCATAGTGTTCCCCGTGTGTTTCGTTTGCTTCAATCTGATGTACTGGATCATCTATTTGCATGTGAGCGATGTGGTCGCCGATGATTTGGTGTTGCTCGGCGAGGAAAAGTAAAGCAACCGACCGTTAGCATACAAGCTTATTATGAAGCGTTGGCTATATGTAGCAGTGGCAGCTTGTAGACACGCTAGGCGTGTGGCAGCGTCGGAAGAAGCCGGTGGCAAACACAGCGTAAGCAGGGAGTATAGCAGAAAGCGATTCGCAATAGTTTAGTTAAGTTTATATGTTAAGTGAACACAGCATAGCAAAACAACAAAAACCAAAAAAAAAAAAAAAAAAAAAAAAAAAAAAAAAAAAAAAAAAAAAAAAAAAAAAAAAAAAAAAAAAAAAAAAAAAAATAATACACGCACGAGCAGTTAGATTAATCATGTATTAGCAAAAAACAGTCGAAGAGACGACGAAGGTATTAGTTAAACAATTAATAATAATTTATACTGTGCAAAAAAAAAATATTATTATAATTAAAAAAGTGAATAAATAAGAAAATAGTAAAGGGGAAAACGGAAAGAAAATCAAAATTAAAATCGGTTAAATTCTAAACGAAAGCATGTCAACGTTCGAACACAGTAAAACCATACACACACACTGGAAAAAAACTTAAATACTTTATAAGCATATACAGTTCACTAACGAGTAAATAATCAGCGCAACGCTGAAACTCATTAATATCGATGAAGTTGAATGGAACAAATTAAACATAAAATACATAATATTGTAAGCGGTAAGAGCTCAAATTACTTACAATATGTAATACTAACGAAACAGCGGTGCACACAATAATGGAAGCATTATAAGTAGTTAACGAAATGCCAGTGAAATGCGTAAAAAATTACAAATAAATAATTAATAGTTAGAAATGTGAGGAAAGATAAAAAAAATGCAATCACACTTTTATATTCATTACAACTAAAGTAAACACCCACACACCATAAATTAATGTCGAAGGAGTGCACTAAAAATTCCATAAGAATATATATATTTTTTTTTTCAATTTACCACATTTGATTCCGAAAACAAAATTTTTTACCTTAATACGAATGATAATTCATGTATTTTGATATGTTCCAAAGAGCAGAAGCGAAAAAGAAAAATATAACGTTATATGTTCTCAAAAGTTCATAACCATGATTAAACCAATTTTATAAATTGAGCCAAAATTTATGCTATATATATTTATTCTAACATTCAAGCTAGATTTATTTAAATAAATGTAGCTTTCGGCAAAGGTTTTTTATGTTTATGATATGGGGTTACTCTTTCTCAATCGATTCACCTACAGATTAATAACCGTTTCAGTTTTGCTCGGACTTGTTGAAGTATTTAGCTAAAGATCGAAGCCCATAACGTCGTCATTTTCGATTTTCGACTACTTTCCAACAAAAATAATTGATGGAGATCACTTTTTACTACTCACATGAACATAAACATAGTCATGACTTGGTAAATCAACGAATCACTTAAATTTTTCTGTGAGTATTTGTTGGAGGTAATTACCACTTTATATATTCTAAATAAAAATAGGCAGCGCTCTCCTCAAGTATGTGAGCAGGTTCTGTCCACGAAATGTGCGTCGACCCTAGCTTTTGAAACTTAGTAAATCGTGAACTGCATGATACATTGCATGTGCTCAGCATAACGAAATGTATCTAAAACAAATTTATAGAGCTGGAATAACCTAGGATTGTAAAAATTTAACGACTTTATCAGATTTTAAGAGGAAAGCAATGAACCTAATGTTAGTTTATATGCAGCGGAGCGCGGTGCGACGTTTTTTCGACCTACTGTTTCAAACCAGATTTCAAGAGTTCTCCTTTTTAAAACTAGTTACTACCTAACAATAATTAATTTCAAATAAAACTCGTTAAACCATCACATATTTACATACACACCAAGTAAATAACTAGGAAATATTTGCACTCGAGAATAAGCTCAATTATTTAATATAAAACTCGTTAGCACACACAAATATAAGTTCGAAAACACTTTTATCACTCGATAAAAATGTATATCTGAATTATTAAAAATAAATTTATTTGTACACTGTTGCTGCAGACTGTTAAGTTTATGCGTTGTTTTTTGTTAGCGTTATTAACAAATTTTGAAACAATTAGCTAAATTGTTTAAAATACTATTAAAAAGTTATGTACATACAAACTTATAAATTTCTACACTTTAGCGCTTCCAAAACTATTTGCCAAATTTTTTAAAATTGCAAAGATAGAAGTTCCCTAAATTAGCAAAAAACGTATAGACGTCACGGCGGAAGACGCACACACACACATACACGTAAACATGGATGAAAGTATGTGTAGGCGTAGTTAAGCTCAGCATATATGCAATATATTTAAGTTAGTGTAACTTAAAGTTATCTCAATGCATAGCTAATAAATGAAAACAAAATAATTGAATTGTTAAAATATTATAATTATAATTTATTTTATATTATTTATTTATTGGTTTTCATTGAAAACACAAGCAAACATACGCACCTTTAAACTACGAATCAATGAAAATTAAATATACGAAAAGTTCAAAATCCGCAAAATTATGAAGCGTGCAACCCTTAGAAATATAAGAGCGCTGTTAAATAATAACTGTATTTTAGTAAATTGCAACGTAATAAACAGCACCACTGTTAGATAAATGAAAATGAAACTTGTCATAACCCTTCCCCAACCTAGATATGTATGTATTTGTATGTATACCCGAACGCAAATGAACAATATCCCAATATACTCGTAATATTTACGTGTTGAACAATTAAAACAAAATAAAATTATATATAAACATATATGTATATACATAAATATGCAAGCATTGCAAGTGACAGTACTAAACCAATTACTTTAAAAAACCAACTGACAATGAGTATGTATAGGTTTTTGTGTAAACACCATATATCTATCAACCAGATATGCCAGTATGTATATATGAACCAAACAATATTATAATTAAATATAAAACTCGCTAACTAAAACGTTTATTTTTTCAACACTTTTACACGTAAACACCGAAGCGATTGCAGTACGTAAAAATAACAACGGTTTTTTGCTGCTATTGTGCATGGTTTTATGTGAAACAATATCTTTGCACACACATTAGATATATACTTAGTATAATGAATAATTTCACTCACTTTTATAGCACCAAACAAGGCTTGAATGTTTGTACATATACTATTTTATATAAAGACAAAACCAAAACTTATAAAAGAACACATAAAAACTAAACCGTAATTGTTATAGTAACATGAAGTAGTGAACTGTTAAAAACACTACTAATTTGTAATGTAGTAAACAGTGAAACAGTAGAGAAAAATTTGCAATTCAGAAACCAAATGCACCCGGCATTTTCGAAGTGCATGAAGAAAGCTGCGTATTATGAACAAAATGGTCCTCTAAACAGATATACTGGACTAAATACAACTGCCTACACATATATTTACCAA